ATGGGTCTGTAATTTGCCAGTTCACTATGATCTAGTTGTGGTTTCTTAATAATTTACATTTACATTTAGTCATTTGGCAGATTCATCATAAAGGAAATAAATATTTTTATGGGAATATGTGCTGTTTTGTATATTAAGAATCTGTCACAGAGTTGTAATCTGCAATATCTGTACTGAAACTGAATGTGTTTTCATGTTGTCAATTATCTGAAAGTGAAGCCGCTTCTGCCGCCTAGTGGAGCGGAAGGAAACTGCACATCAGTTCCTATGATTACAACAATTTCTACCACTGACGTACAACAAGTTCTTTCTGCTACTGTAGGCTCTGAAACTGAATGTGTTTTCATGTTGTCAATTATCTGAAAGTGAAGCCGCTTCTGCCGCCTAGTGGAGCGGAAGGAAACTGCACATCAGTTCCTATGATTACAACAAGTAACAATCACCACCAGAGGGCACCAAACTGTTATTGTATGTGCTTAGATATAGTAATAGTGATTTTAATAACGACATTTATTTTTGAATGCTATTTTTTTATTGTAATGGGAACTTTATTTGTAAATGCCGATCGTCCATGATTTTGTAAACTTTACGTTTTGAATATCAAATTCTTTACTTATAAATGCCAAATGTACACAATTGTGTAAGCTTTATATTTCTGAATGGCAAATTTTTTATTCATAAATGTTGAACGTCCACAATTTTGCCAACTTTATATTCTGAGTGGCAAATTTTTTATTCATAAATGCTGAATGTCCAGAACTCCTCTTTTGTAAAAGGCTTTCTGTAATAAACTTGCTCTTTTAATGCCTGTTTTTAAATAATGTTGCTTGTAAAGTTAAATGAAGGCAATAAAAAAATAAAAAATAAAATTTCCCGGTGAATAATTTTTTTTTTTAAACATTTATTGTTCAGAGTAATAGTTTTTCTTCCACACATATCAGACTGGAGTTCCTCATGCCTGCTTTTATATCAGTTTAAGTTTTTATCTTGCTTTATCATTTATATGGACTTATTCAATTATTATTATTATTATTAGAGATTGTAGGCATTTTAATGAAGCTAAAGTACATGTCTTAAAACAAAATTGATAATTAAAAATGTAATGAAAAATTAAATTAAAAATTGTAATAAAAACAAATATATTTGAATAGGAAATAAAAGACATTGGTGTATAATAAAATACATATTACAAATAAACCATGCAGGACTGGATTACAGGTAATACTGTTGTAAATAATGTTCAGCTTCTTGTACCGATCGTTTCGCTTCATAAGAACTCAATGAATCGTCAGGAGCCACAGGTTTGAATTGTGTGTTGCCTGTATGTGCTTTTTTTTTTACTTTAGAAAAATGTTAAGTAAAAAAAAAAAACTAGTTTCAGAGGCAAACTTTCTCATTTTCATTTTGTACTAAAATAACTAAAACTGAAATAAAAATGACTAAAAACTATATAGACATTTAAAAACGATGTGTGTGTGTGTGTGTGTGCGCGGGTATGTATATATATGTTTTCTTATTCCTCAAAGGGCATTTGTTCCCACCGTTCATAGCAGAGCATCACGATGCACACGATCATCAAAGTCACCTAATGGCCTGAGGGTGAGTACATTAACAGCAAATTTGCCTTTTCGGGCGAACTATCCTGTTAAAACGATGAGGAAAAAACACTTAAAATATCTTCTTTTATGTTCCACAGATGAAAGAAAGTTCTGTAGGTTTGTAATTGTTATTTTTGGATGAAGATGTGAAATTGACATTATTAAGTTGGCTTGAAAAAAGCCAATTTACTGAAATCCTATTTAAACTTCTTCTTCTGAGACCAAATTTTCTCCTCCTAGACTTTTAAAGCTACAACCACCAAACTCGGGTCAGACCTTCAGACTGGTCTGACTCGGGTTGCTATATCTTTTTTAACTGGTCCGGCTTACGGTTTTCGTAAACCAGATTATCAAAACCACCTAAAATCCCATAGACTTTCATTGAGGGGGTGAAAACTTTTATACAATAAGACTTATGGTGTATTTAAGCTGTCTATTGCTATAGCAAAGCTTAACAACTCCCTACTGAAAAAAAAACAGCTAAAACCAGCCTACGCTGATTGACTGCTTTGGCTGGTCTCCCAAGCTGGTTTTAAAGTGGTTTTGGCCATTTTTTAAGCAGGCCAGGCTGGTCTTAGCTGTTTTTTTACTGAATCAACTTGTTTTAGCTGGATTAGCATATAAACATGCTAACAACATGCTATTAATTTGCTAATCATGCTAACAACATTCTAGTAAAATGCTAATCATGCTAAAAAAGGCCAACACCATGCTAGTAACGGGCTAATTATGCTAGCATCATGCTAGTAACATGCTAATCATGCTGGCAACATGCTAGTAAATTGCTAATCATGTTAACATTTTAGTAACTTTTAATCATGCTAACAACATGCTAGTAAATTGCTAATCATGCTAGAAACATGTTAGCAAAACTTGTTAAACATGCTAGAAACATGTTAGCATCATGCTAGTAACATGATAATCATGCTAGTATCATGTTAATCGTGCTAGAATCATGCTAGTAACTTGCTAATGCTAACAACATTGTAGTAACTTGCTAATCATGCTAGTAGCTTGCTAATCATGCTAGAAACATAACAAAATGTTAGTAATTTGCTAATCATGCTAACAACATGATAGTAACTTGCTAATCATGCTAGGAACATGTTAACAAAATGTTAGTAACTTGTTAATGCTAGAAACATGCTAGCAACTTGTTAAACATGCTAGAAGCATGCTAGAAACATGCTAATCATTCTACAATCATGCTAGTAACATGTTAATCATGCTAACAAAATGATAACGCCATGGTACTAACTTGCTAATCATTCTAGAATAATGCTAGTAACATGCTAATCATGCTAGCAACATGCTAGTAACTTGCTGATCATGCTAGAAACATGCTAGTAACTTGATAATCATGCTAACAAAATGCTAACACCATGCTAGTAACATGCTAATCATGCGAACAACATGTTAATCATTTTAGAAACATGCTAGTTACTTGCCAATCATGCTAACAAAATGCTAATACCATGCTAGTAACATGCTAATCATGCTAGAATCATGTTAGCAACATGTTAGTAACTTGCTAATTATGATAACAACATGCTAGTAACATGTTAATCATGTTAGAAATATGCTAGTAACTTACTAATCGTGCTAAAAAAATGATAACACCATGCTAGTAAAATGCTAGTAACTTATTAATCATTGCTAACAAAATGTTAACACCATGCTAGTAACATGCTAATCATGCTAGACTTGCTTATCATGCTAGAAACATGCTAGCAACTTGTTAAACATGCTATAAACATGTTAGCATCATGCTTGTAATATGCGAATCATGTTAGAATAATGTTAGTGACATGCTAATCATGCTAGAATCATGCAATCAACATGCTAGTAACATGCTATTAATGTTAATAACATGCTAGTAGCATGTTAATCATGCTAGAAACATGCTAGTAACATGCTAGTAACTTGCTAAATTTGCTAGCAACATGTTAGTAACATGTTAATCATGCTAGAAACATGCTAGTAACATGCTAATCATGCTAAAAACATGTTAGCAACATGCTAGTCATGCTAGAAACAGCCTATCAACCACCCCAGGTCCCCTAGCACTATGGTTTATACCTATCTGTTTTTCTGATAGACTGTATTGCCTTGAAAACATTCAAACTTTAATCTTTAAAACTATTTTGACTTTCAAACTACCTAACCCTAACTACAAACAGCTTTTAAAACTTTTTAAAACTTTCTAGCTAGGCTTTTTCAAGCCAACTTAAAGTTTGTCTGCAAACTTTCAATCTAGTTACATACTAAACTTTTTAAAAGTGTACTCTAAGTGTCATTAATAATTTATTATCTGCAAGTAGTTTTTTCAGTACAATTAAGCTACTTCGTTTTCACATGGATAAAGATATAATGTGTGATCTTTCTTGCTGATCAGATAAAGCTGTTGTTGTGTTTCTCACGTGTGCCTTGTGGTGGTGGGACGGCCTGAAACTGTTGGCTGCCGCTGCCGTGTTTGTTTGTGCTGAAACACTGCAGGACATCCGTGTCTGTGAGGGACTGATGGATGTTCAGGATGCTCTTCACTCCTGTGCTTCCTAACGTCTCCTCACTGATGGAGGTTTCTGTAGAGTTAGCGAGCACATGTCCGGACAGACGCCACTCTAGTGTAGGGCAGGGATTCCCATGAGCCTCACAGACACACGCCATTACACTGCTTCGGCTGCAAGAGCTGGAGATTTTGGGTGCAACTGAAAGAGAAAATATAATCATTATGATACAGAAGATCTTGATGGTCTCTACAGTGTAAAACATGTTCAGAATTTGAATGATAAAACACTAAAAACATATGTTTCATATGTATATAAAAAATGTTAATTGGTTAACAGCAATTTCCTTTACTATATACAGTGAAAAAGGGTTGTGTTGATCGTAGAGACCATTGGTGGCAATGGCTGTACGATCTACTTAGGCTCATGATGGTTTTGGGAAACGCAGCCCAGGACATTTCATGTATTTAAATTTATTTGTATTACAGTACACATTTGTAATGATGAAGTTGCAATTAAGTACATTTAAAATAAATTAATTTTAAATGTAATATTGAATTAATGTTCATTTTGTATCACTGAGATACTATCATAGTTTTTATTTTTTATATTTTTCATTTTAGTTAAAGTTTTAGTCATTTTGTTGTGTTTGTCATTTTTAGAAGTTTTAGTTTTTAATTATCTCTACATTGTAAAATGGTCTCTACAGTGTAAAAATTTGTCTTAATTTTAATGGTAAAACACTAAAAATGTCATGGTAAAACCATGTTAATTGTTTAAAAGCAAGTTCCCTTACTATATACAGTGAAAAATAATAAATCTAACAGCACATTTCATGTAATTTTTCAGTAAAATATTGTTACATTTACAGTTTTTAGAGGTGAAAAAAAAGAACGTCATCTTTTTAAAATTTATTTTAATGTAATTTAATTTATAATTCTGTGTTTAATGATGGTTAGTTCATCAGTAAGTTGGCATATTAACAGCAACCTTTTTTCCTGTAAACATCACAGCTTGTTTCTTTTTTACACTGTAGACAGAAACTGTAAAACTGCTTTAGGTTTTTTCTAACACTTAATAGAAACTGCTGAACATCTTATTTTGGACAAAAATTAATACGTTCATGACAAAAACCGAAAAAAACCCTACTGAAAGCTAATAGAGTGCAGAAGTAGAAAAGAGGAACAAAAACATTGGCCAAAACACTGTTTAATGTGAAGCACCAAATGCTGCCGGTTGCCACAGAAAATAGGCATGCAGCCTGTGCACAACTGACTGTATAGTCAATCACCATCAACCTGTCGCCATACTCTGTGATGCACACACCATGTAAGATGTTACACCATATAGCATGCTGTAGTGTAGTTTATATGATAAAATCATCTTCAACTTAAATTATATATAAATTTCTTAAAATTATTATATAATGATTTTTTAAAAAGTCATTTAAACATACTTTTGTGGTTTTTGCAAAAAAATTTTGTAGTCTTTTCAGTGCTGAAAGTCATATTTTGACTGTGTGAAAGAAATTATGCTTTTCTTGCATGCTTTTATGGTAAAATTGCATTTAATTTCACTATAAACAATGTACTTTGCATTCAAATGCAATGCTGTCTAGAGCATTATTATGTGTTTGCTGCAATTACTGCAGTCAATATTCACAGTATTTACGTTATCAGGGATCAGATTAAGTGATTGCAGTGCAGTAATTTGAGGTTTGTCTTTTTACTCACACTGAACATCCAGTTGAATTGTTGAATTGTGTTGTCCATGCTGGTTTTGAGCTTTACAGCCATACCGTGCGTTGTGTTTAGGGTTTGTCACAATGTCGGTGTGATTATATTAGAGATTATCAAGTACTTGCACTGGACGGCCAGCATATTACCAACTATTCACACTAGATGTCCAGAAGATCACCAAGTACTCACACTGGACGTCCACACGATTATTAAGTACTCACACTGGATGTTCAGCAGATTTACAAGTACTCTCATTGGATGTCACAGTATTTAGTATAATTTTTTCTGATTTTTTAAAATAATAGTAAAGACATCAACTATAAAATAACACTAATGGAGGTGTTTAAAATATATATTAGCAATTAGTTAATACTCGTAATACTCACACTGGACGTCCAGCAGCACTGATGAATTCTGTGTGCCGTGTTTGTTCTCAGCTGTACAGTAGTATCGTCCGCTGTGTGTCGGGTCGGTGTTGTTGATGGTCAGGTTTGATCCGGTCTGAACTGTATTCAGAGGTCTTTCAGCGTCTCTGTACCAGGTGTAGTTCACCGCTGGGTTTGCATCACTGCTGCAGATCAGAGTCACTGGATCGCCCTCCATCACTGAGCTGGAGGGAAACGCTGACAATGATGTGTTTTTTGGGGCATCTGAGGAAAAAAAAGATGTAGAATGTGTGATTTAACAGTTCAGGATTTGAAAGGCTGCAGGTTTAAACCTGTCTATTTTACAAGTTTCAGATGCAGGCAACTTGTTAAAGCATTTGTTCAAACATCTACAGCAGGCCACAACACTGGGTTTGCATCACTGCTGCAGATCAGAGTCACTGGATCGCCCTCCATCACTGAGCTGGAGGGAAACGCTGACAATGATGTGTTTTTTGGGGCATCTGAGGAAAAAAAAGATGTAGAATGTGTGATTTAACAGTTCAGGATTTGAAAGGCTGCAGGTTTAAACCTGTCTATTTTACAAGTTTCAGATGCAGGCAACTTGTTAAAGCATTTGTTCAAACATCTACAGCAGGCCACAACACTAACAAAACACCACATGTCTGTATTTTACCCATTACTTGTTCACTTCACACTAACTGTGTGTAGACGTTTAAGTCTACTGTGCTAAAACAACACAAACACAGTAAGATATATGATGAGAATTTGTAGTATATGTTATTGTCTAAGTTTGTCATGCAATCGGACAGAGACTGTCTTTCATTTGTCTAGACTAAACAGACTGAATTGAGACGTGCTGGACCATCTGAACTGAATGTCCTGCAGATTACCGAGTACTTGCACTAGACATCCAGAAGATTACTAAGTACTTGCACTGGACATCTAGAAGATTACCAAGCATTCACACTAGACGTCCAGAAGATTGCCCAGTACTCACACTGGACGCCCAGAAGATTACCAATTACTCACTCTGGATGCCCAGCAAATTACCAAGTATTTGCACTAGATGCCCAGAAGATTACAAGTACTCGTACTTGTATGCCCAGAAGATTACCAGACATCCAGAAGATTACTAAGTACTTGCACTGGACATCTAGAAGATTACCAAGCATTCACACTAGACGTCCAGAAGATTACCCAGTACTCACACTGGACGCCCAGAAGATTACCAAGTACTCACTCTGGATGCCCAGCAAATTACCAAGTATTTGCACTAGATTCCCAGAAGATTACAAGTACTCGTACTTGTATGCCCAGAAGATTACCAAGTACTTGCACTGGACATCTTATAGATTGCCAAGTACTTGCACTAGATGCCCAGAAGATAACAAGTACTCATGCCAGACACTCAGCAGATGACCAAGTATTCTCACTAGACATCCAGCAGATTACCAAGTACTAGCATTGGACGTTTAGTAGATTACTTGCACTGGACGTCCACAAGATTACCATGTACTGGTACTGGACCAGTACATCTAGAAGATTACCAAGTATGCGCACTTGTATGCCCAGAAGATTACCAAGTACTTCCACTAGATGCCCAGAAGATTACCAAGTACTCACGTTGGATGCCCAGCAAATTACCAAGTATTTGCACTAGATGCCCAGAAGATTACAAGTACTCGTACTGGATGTTCAGCAGATTTACAAGTACTCTCACTGGATGTTGCAGAATTTAGCATTATGACTATTTTTCAGATTTGTCAAATAATAGTAAAGACACCAACTGTAAAATAACACTAATGGAGGTGTGGAAAATATATATTAGCAATTAGTTAAGACACGTAATACTCACACTGGACGTCCAGCAGCTACCAAGTACTAGCATTGGACGTTTAGTAGATTACTTGCACTGGATGTCCACAAGAGTACCAAGTACTCATATTGAACATCTAGAAGATTACCAAGTACTTTCACTGGACATTCACAAGATTACCATGTACTGGTACTGGACCAGTACATCTAGAAGATTACCAAGTATTTGCACTTGTATGCTCAGAAGATTTCCTGGACGTTCAGCAGATTACTTGCACTGGACGTCCACAAGAGTAACAAGTACTCACAACTGGACATCTCGAAGATTACCAAGTACTTCCACTGGATGTTCACAAGATTACTAAGTACTCACTGTGGATGCTCAGCAGATTAACAAGTACTCTCACTAGATGTCACAGTATTTAGTATTATGACTATTTTTCAGATTTTTAAATAATAGTAAAGACACCAACTGTAAAATAACACTAATGGAGGTGTGGAAAATATGTATTAGCAATTAGTTAAGACACGTAATACTCACACTGGACATCCAGCAGCACTGATGAGTTCTGTGTGCCGTGTTTGTTCCCAGCTGTACAGTAGTATCGTCCACTGTGTGTCGGGTCGGTGTTGTTGATGGTCAGGTGTACTAGCACTGGACATCTAGAAGATTACCAAGTATTCGCACTTGTATGCTCAGAAGATTTCCTGGACGTTCAGCAGATTACTTGCACTGGACGTCCACAAGAGTAACAAGTACACTGGACATCTCGAAGATTACCAAGTACTTCCACTGGATGTTCAAAAGATTACTAAGTACTCACTGTGGATGCTCAGCAGATTTACAAGTACTCTCACTAGATGTCACAGTATTTAGTAATATGACTATTTTTCATATTTTTAAATAATAGTAAAGACATCAACTATAAAATAACACTAATGGAGGTGTGGAAAATATGTATTAGCAATTAGTTAAGACACGTAATACTCACACTGGACGTCCAGCAGCACTGATGAGTTCTGTGTGCCGTGTTTGTTCTCAGCTGTACAGTAGTATCGTCCACTGTGTGTCGGGTCGGTGTTGTTGATGGTCAGGTTTGGTCCGGTCTGAACTGGATTCAGAGGTCTTTCAGCGTCTCTGTACCAGGTGTAGTTCACCGCTGGGTTTGCATCACTGCTGCAGATCAGAGTCACTGGATTGCCCTCCATCACTGAGCTGGAGGGAAACGCTGACAATGATGCGTTTTTTGGGGCATCTGAGGGGGGAAAAAAAAGATGTAATGTAGAATGTGTGATTTAACAGTTCAAGATGTGAAAGGAGAGATCCTGAAACACACATAGAGATATTACAAGATAATAGAGTTGGGGTACTCGGACTCGTACTCGGACTCGAGTACAGTTTTTTTTTAAAGGACTCGGACTTGTCACAGACTCGGATGCATTTTTACTCGGACTTGACTCGGAAAATATGTCCGAGTCCAACCGAGTCCAGGGACAGTTAATGGAAGTGTCACTGACTCAATGCATTATCACGAAAGTTGTATTCAGTATTTGCATGTGTTTTTAAGTCTTGTCCAGTATTTGAAAGCCGACGGGTTTTTTGTGCTCACACACCGAAAGCGCGCTCACAGAATACTAACGCGACTCTCAGTCAGCGTGCGAATGCCGAGTTCTTTCGCTTAAGTTCGCTTAAGTTCTGTTATTGCTACACACTTACACGAAAAGCTATGTCAAAATGCCCGTCTTGGAGACTATTCATGTAAATGCAGTCGGTTTTGTCTTAAGTGAACTTGAACAGTTGGGAGAAATACAGATGTGTCCAAATATTTGATCTATGCGTCAGATCTTAAAGCAACAGCGTAAACTTGCAGCCGCCGACTGCGTCATAAATGTTAATCAAACAAAATAAAAGGAGAAAATCACTCACTGCTCTTGACTGAATCACTTATTAACTTGAATAAGAATCATCTATATTTAATGTATACAGTGAATATTATTTTTACATTTATTACTTCATGAAATGTCTGTAGTAGGCTATTTCTAGAAGCCTTTACTAGGCTACTATCTGAAAAACTAAAAAAACTATTTCATTTGTATTTTTGAGTAATATATTTATTTATCATTTAGCTTGTAAGTAATACTTGGAGTGTTTACTTGCCTTCAGTAAGCTTGAGAAGGTTTTATTACATTAGTTTATTATTTTTTGCTTTTGTATTAGTGGCCGTTTCTAGCTTCAAAGAAAAATTCATTTTCTAACATATTTGCGGCAATAGTTTTTATGGGTCCAAAATTACCTTGGGTGTGCATTATTTTCTAATAATTCAACGGCCCGTCATTAATTATTCCTTACATAATGTAATTTATTGTAATTAATGTAACTATAAATGCATTCAAAAATAAAACAGGTGTGAGTTGTCACATTCGCTACTGTGAGGGAGCGTGGAGCGAGGAACGAGGAGTACATCAACAAGGAGACTTTAATTATATCCAGGGAACCAGGAAAACACACGTAGCAGGAGAGGTTGACATATACAATACCGGACGCCGAACTAAGAACAGGGAACACTTTATATACACATGACATGACGAGGGGATGACGAGACACACCTGGGATCAATAGAACTAAACGGGGAACACCTGGAACAAATAAGGACAGGAACGGGAAGGACCAAATATGGGCATAGAAACACATGGGGAACAAAACTCACACAAAACACGAAACAGAGTCTGACATTACTCCCCGATGGGCGCCCTGGAGGCTGCTGCAGGACTGGGACCCGGGGAATACCTCCAGGGCGGATCAGGCAGTCCAGGGTGCCATGGTGGCACATGGAGCTCAGGGGCCATGACAGTGCAGGGAGCTCTGGGAGCCATGGCGGAGCAGGCCGAATAGGAAGCCATGGCGGAGCAGGCAGTTCAGGAGGCCATGGTGGAGCAGGCAGTTCAGGAGGCCATGGTAGAGCAGGGAGCTCGGGGAGCCTGGCCTCGGCACTCGGCCCAACCTCTACGGATGGACCCCTACCACCCCCCCAAAAAAATACTTGGGGAGAATGTCGGTTTCAGAGGTCCTCCGTAGGCTTAACTCGGGAACTGTGGCCCTCCCTGGGCTTGACTTGGGGACTAGAGCCCTCCTTGCGCTGGACATGGGGACTGGAGCCCTCCTTGGGCTGGACATGGGGACTGGAGCCCTTTCTGTGCTAGACTCAGGGACTGGAATCCTCTCTGGGCTAAAATCAGGGACTGGAGCCCTCTCTGGGCTAAACTCGGGGACTGGAATCCTCTCTGGGCTAAACTCGAGGACTGGAACCCTCTCTGGGCTAAACTCGGGGACTGGAGTCCTCTCTGGGCTAAACTCGGGGACTGGAGACCTTGAAACGGCAGAGAAATCAACTTTGAGCAGTATCATTTTTACATTTCTTTGAAAAGAGCCATGACAATAGACAATGGGATGTTTGATGATTTACAAAGGGTCACCTACCAAATGGAGTCAAAGTATCTTCAAAACAAGAAAAAAAATAAATAAATTAAAAAAAAAAGGCCAAAATAGTAATTTTCACTCTAGAGTCATCAATATCTTTGTTCCATTTTTGTGCAATAACTTATGTATTTATTTATAGTTTGTAAAAAAAAAAACAACAACAACAATACCATTCAAAAGTTTGAGGTTGGTGTCACGGGAGCGTGGATCGAAGAATGAGGAGACGAGGAGTACATCAACAAGGAGACTTTAATTATATCCAGGGAACCAGGAAAACACACGTAGCAGGAGAGGTTGACATATACAATACCGGACGCCGAACTAAGAACAGGGAACACTTTATATACACATGACATGACGAGGGGATGACGAGACACACCTGGGATCAATAGAACTAAACGGGGAACACCTGGAACAAATAAGGACAGGAACGGGAAGGACCAAATATGGGCATAGAAACACATGGGGAACAAAACTCACACAAAACACGAAACAGAGTCTGACATTACTCCCCGATGGGCGCCCTGGAGGCTGCTGCAGGACTGGGACCCGGGGAATACCTCCAGGGCGGATCAGGCAGTCCAGGGTGCCATGGTGGCACATGGAGCTCAGGGGCCATGACAGTGCAGGGAGCTCTGGGAGCCATGGCGGAGCAGGCCGAATAGGAAGCCATGGCGGAGCAGGCAGTTCAGGAGGCCATGGTGGAGCAGGCAGTTCAGGAGGCCATGGT